ACAGCCAACATCATACTCAACCATGAAAAGTTGAAAGCATTTCCTCTAAAATCAGGAACAAGACAAGGATTTCCACTCTTATCACTTTCATTCAACATAGTAATCGGAAGTCATAGTAATCGAAGAAGAAAAAGAAGTAAAAGGAATCCAAATACGAAAAGAAGTTAAATGGTCACTATTTGCAGATGACATGATACTATACATAGAAGATCCTAAGCATGCTATCAAAAACTACTAGAACTACCAATGAATTTGGTTAAGTTGAAGGTTACAAAATTAATACATAGAAATCTGTTGCATTTTTATACACTAACAATGAAAGATATGAAACAAATTCAAGAAACAATTCCATTTATCATCACATCAAAAAGAATAAAATACCTAGGAGTAAACCTACCGAAGGAGATAAAAAGACCTGTACTCTGCAAACTATAAGTTGCTGATGAAAGAAATCAAATAAGATACAAACAGATAGAAAGACATGTCATGTTTGTGCATTGGAAGAATCAAGGTTGTCAAAATGACTATACTACCCAAGGCTATCTACAGATGCAACACAATCCCTTTGAAACTACTAATGACATTTTTCATAGAACTAGAACAAAAAATATCAAAATTTGTATGGAGATACAAAAGACCTTGAATAGCCAAAGTAACCTTGAGAAAGAAAAATGGAACTGGAGGAAACAGGCTCCCTGACTTCAGACTATACTAAAATGTTACAGTCTTCAAAATAGTATGGTACTGGCACAAAAAAAGAAATATTGATTGATGAAAAAGGATATAAAACTCAGAAATAAGCCCATGCACCAATGATTAATTAATCTATGACAAAGGAGGCAAGACTACACAAGTTTGGAAAGACAGTTTCTTCAAAAAATGGTCTTGGGAAAACTGGACAGCTATATTAAAAGAAAAAACAAGTTAAATCATTCTTTAACACCATACATAAAAATAACCTCAAAATAGATTAAAGACCTAAATATGAGATCAGACACTTCCTTCTTAGAGGAAAACAGAGGCCAAATAGTCTCTGACATAAATTGCAGCAGTATCTTTTTCAATCTGTCTCCCAGAATAATGGAAATAAAAACACAAATAAACAATGGGACCAACTTAAACTCAACAGATTTTATACATCAAAGGAAACAAACAAAGCAAAAAGACAATCCACAGATTAGGAGAAAATATTTGCAAATGATGTGACCAACAAGAGATAAATCTTCAAAATCTACAAACAGCTCATGATGCTTAACAGCATCAAAACAAACAACCCAATCAAAAGGTGGGCAGAAGACCTAAGCAGACATTTCTCCAAAGAAGACATACAGATAGACAAGAGGCACATGAAAAGATGTTCAATGCTGCCAATTATTGGAGAAATGCAAATCAAAACTACAATGAGATATCACCTTATACCAGGCAGAATAGCTATCATCAAAAAATCCACAAACAGTACATGCTGGAGAGGGTGTGGAGAGAAGGGAACTCTTCTACACCATTGGTGGGAATGTTAATTGGTACAGCCACTATGGAGAAAAGTATGAAGTTTCCATAAAAAACTAAAAATATAGCTACCATATGACCTTTCAATATCATTACTGGGCATATATCTAGAGAAAAACATGATCTGAAAGGATACATGAATCCCAATGTTCATTGCAGCACTGTTTACAATAACCAAGACATGCAAGCAACCTAAATGCCCATTGAAAGAGGAATGGATAAAGATGTGGAACATATATATAATGGAATATTACTCAGTAATTAAAAAGAATGAAATAATGCTATTTGCAGCAATATGGTTGGACCTAGAGGGCATCATACTGAGTGAAGTAAGTCAAATAGAGATGGAGAAATATGATATGACATCCCTTATATGTGGAATCTTAAAAAAAATGATACAAAGGAACTTATTTACAAAACAGAAAGAGACTCATAGACTTAGAGAATGAACTTATGGTTGCCAGGGGGAAGGATGGAGGAAAGGGATAGCTACAGAGTTTGGGATGGACATGTACACACTGCTATATTCAAAATGGATAGCCAGAAAGGACCTACTGTATAGCACATGGAACTCTGCTCAATGTTATGTGGCAGCCTGGATGGGAGAGGAATTTGGGGGAGAATGGATACATGTATATGCATGGCTGAGTCCCTTCCCTGTTCACCTCAAACTACCATAACATTGTTAATCAGCTATGCCCCAATACAAAATAAAAAGTTTTTTAAAAAGAGGTAAACTTCCAGTTACAAAATAAACAAGTCTGGAGGATGAAGTGTGTAGCATGGGGAAAAGAGTCAATAATATTTTAATAACTTTGTATGGTAACTAGACTGATAATGGGGATCATTTTGTAATGTATAGAAATACAAATCACTATTTTTGCATCTGGAACTAACAGTGTCTCGGGTCAGTTAAACTTCAATAAAACTTTTTAGCATATGAATAAAAAATCAGGTTGTTATTAAAAGTGTTACACTGCATATTAAAGATAAAAGGAAATATTGTTTTAAAAATAGCTTTGTCATGGTATCTCCTTTGCCAGGCATATACCTGTGGCTGATACATGTTGATGTTTGGCAGAAACCAACACAATTCTGTAAAGCAATTATCCACCCATTAAAACTTAAAGAATTTTTAAAAATAGCTTGAATGAAGAGCAACAAATTCTCTCCAGAATTAATAAAACAATGTATAGTTTCAAGTTTTATATCAAACACCCTAAGATATTCTTTAATACCATTAAAAACATTCATATCTATAGAATATAGTGAATGAGTTTGCATTTGCATGGATTTTATTTACATATTTCTTTAGTTAACACAATTATATTGAATAAAATTAGATGGATCTGTTAAAATTATTATCATTCCCTTTCTCAAATATACTTTTTGCTTCTTGATCTAATTTTATAAATCCAATCACTGAAGTTCACCTGTAAATAAAACTTTGATATAAGTGAGGGTTTTAATGAATAACATTAAGAATTTTTTATAAATATCACTATGAGATTTAGGCATGAAAAATTGAAAGTCATTGTGATACTTAGTTTTTAATTAGACTTCCTCATTACAATTTAGTGAATGTTATGCAATCAGTTCAGTTCAGTCACTCAGTCGTGTCTGACTCTTTGCGACCCCATGAACCATCTCATCCTCTGTTGTCCCCTTCTCCTCCTGCCCTCGATCATTCCCAGCATCAGGGTCTTTTCAATTGAGTCAGCTCTTCACATCAGGTGGTCAAGGTATGAACACCCAGGACTGATCTCCTTTAGGATGGACTGGTTGGACCTTCTTGCAGTTCAAGGGACTCTCAAGAGTCTTCTCCAACACCACAGTTCAAAAGCATCAATTCTTCAGTGCTCAGCTTTCTTTATAGTCCAATTCTCACATCCATACATGACCACTGGAAAACCATAGCCTTGACAAGATGGACCTTTGTTGACAAAGTAATAGCTCTGCTTTTTAATATGCTGTCTAGATTGGTCATAACTTTCCTTCCAAGGAGTAAGCATCTTTTAATTTCATGGCTGCAATCACCATCTGCAGTGATTTTGGAGCCCAAAAAATAAAGTCAGACACTGTTTCCCCATCTATTTGCCATGAAGTGATGGGACCAGATGC